TGGATCATACAACAAATACTATTTAAAAACCCTGTTGCTAGCTAAAACCTATCTTTATATAGAATTAAATGAATTAAAATAGATTCAGACATCTCAGGCAGCAAAAGGACTAATAACATAGTGGTGTTTTTACAAATTTCTTAAAAACGTAGAGAAAAGGCACCTGACAAATCTCTGCTAGAAGCCTGCTACAAAGGGAAGGGGCCACATCTAAAAGAGCCTGGTTCCTGGCGTCAACTCTTTTGGCCTCCTGAGGTGTCACCATTTCTAACGTCATGGACTGCAAGCAGCAGGAGGCTGTTTTGTGGGAGAGACTTCCATCAAATATCGAGGTCCTTTCCCCAACCTATGCTCTTGATGTGGATACCCATGGCAACTTCCTCAGTCATCTTTCCCTTGGCTGATCTTGTCATTCTTGCCTCCAAAGTTGTAAGAGAAGCCTTCTTCCAGTCCTTCCTTTTTTTTTTATCTCCCTGGATCTAACTTCTACTGTTTCTACAGCTCTTTAATTTTTAGGCCATTCTCTATTTTGTTCTACTTTCATTTTCCTATTCTCCCTCTTGGCCAGGAACGAAAAATCCTTGTTCTTATTGATATAGGCTGTCTCAACATGGCAAGATACCCTGAGGAAGAATTTTAATATTCCACAAGGTTCCTCAGCTCAAGCTGGGACTGAGACAGAGCGCTCTCCCCACCAAACTCCATCAAGGTCTCTGTACTTTATTCAAAACAACTCCAGCACCCTTTTTGTTTGAGGGGGAAAAACACATACACAGACAGGAAGCCTAAAAGAACTGATAGATTATTAGAATGCCAAAATAAATGTAAATAAATACAACAAAACTATAGATTCGGTGCTTCAGATTCCCAAATGAAGCTGCAGTCATTCTGATTCGGCACAATTTTAAAAATCTGTGTAATTTATGCAACTGTGCAATCTCACACAATTTTTATTTTTTTATCCAAATGCAGTCCCTTGAAAAATGTACTGGAGGTGGGAAATCTGCATGAAGTTGGAGGAGGGAGAAGCCCCCTCCAATTTATTTTATTTATTTATTCTATTTGTATCCCGCCTATCTGGCCATTGTGACCACTCTCCAACCTCCCATGAGATTTCACTTCACAAGATATCAGGTGTTAAAGTTCGTAAGAGTTACTTGTGAAATTCAACACACCCACCCCTAGTCATTTATGGCCTTGTCTTCTAAGTCTAAGAAGTAACAGGCATATTTTCATTTTTTGTATTTCTCCATATCTTGCCTATCTTCTATTTTCGTGATTCCCTACCTTGGGTCCTCAGATGTTCTTGGACTCTCAGAAATCCTGCCCAGCACAGCTAGTGGTGATGGCTTCTGGGAGTTTTAGTCCAAGAACATATGGGGACCTAAGTTTGGGAACCACTATAAATCTATTTGGTTACTTAATGCAGTCATTTTTGACAGGAGTGGAACACTGGAAGGATGGCAAAGGTACAAAATTACATGGCCTTGTGAATATGTGATAGTAACACTGTCACAACACAAATCCCTGAGCCAGTGGGGACTATTTTCCTGTTCTTCCCAAAGAAAGACAGGCAGGTAGAGATGCCTATCAGCATCTGATGTCTGGTTGGTTTGAGGGTGGGACTCAATGAGCCTCGTTTCAGGTTCGCCCACTCCCAGTCAGTTTCCTTACAGCATGGCAGCCCATGTGCCCTGGGTACAGTCTGGTGTATGTGGTTGCTTTTGAGGTCGAATAGGAATTTTTGGCCTGCATTACCAGATTGGCATTTAATAGCTATGTGGGTGAGTTTTTGCCTATCCCGTACAGGTTACCCATGGGATGTATTGGGCAGATTGGGTGGTGGGGCCATTTGAAATAGGTCACATGGCCTTAATTGGGAATGGAGAGTTAGCTTCAGTGGGTTCCCTATAGGCACACGGGGTGCTTTTGGCACAGCGTCGTGGCAACTTGGATCCTGAGGTCCCCTTGCCATGATGAGGAGTGTCTACATGGCCTGATCTGGCCGCTGGCTGTCCATGGAAAGGGGGATTGGATGTTTGGCAGCTGGCGAGGGATCCCTAATTTTAGCTGTCTGGGTCTGAGCTGTCCGGTTACTGCTCAGACCGGGGGCATGAGACTTGCCTGTTAGGGGTTACGTGAGGGATCCCCAATTTTAGCTGTCTGGGTGCGAGCTGTACGGTTACTGCTCAGACCAGGGGCATGAGACTTGCCTGTTAGGGGTTAGGAAAGGGGTAAGAGGTACCCCTGGAGCCTGCCCCACAAATCTGCACTATGTTCAGGCCCCTCTGCAGGTTAAAGGTGGGAAATATATTGCTAATAAAGTGGTCCAAGTTAAATCCAATATCTGTGTCTGTCTCTTCATTTTGGGATTGGGTGGCCAAAGGGCTGGTGTGCATGGTTAGCAGGGCTGCAGTTTTAACCTATGGCCTTGCTGGGCATTTCTCACACACTATATGGGACATAGGTTTGTGCAGGATTGCTACCTTCCCCCCCCTACCCTTTGTCTCCATCCCATGACTTCTTGTAATAATTAGTTTATCCTTTTATCTACAAGCTGGTCTCATATCTCTCCATCTACACCACATCTGTTGGATATCACACAAAATCATTTCTGTCCATAATTAATGATATGAATAGAAATAACTCTTACATCCACATTTATAGAAAAAACACCTAAATAAACAAGAAGCAGTGTGATAGGGGGAAGCCAGAAAAGATATTATGGGCATGCAGAAATCAACCTGTGAGCTGTTGGATTTTAGCATGTATCCTAATACACATTTATATTTAATTTAATTATTATTTATTTATCACTTAAATTTGTATACCGTTCTCCATTAGTGCTGAAGCACTACTCTGGGTGGTTTATAATAATTAACAAAACAAAATTAAAACTGCATTCGTGAAGGCTTTCACAGCCAGGATCTAATGGTTGTTGTGGGTTTTTCGGGCTCTTTAGCTGTGTTCTGAAGCTTGTTCTTCCTAACATTTCGCCAGTCTCTGTGGCCGGCATCTTCAGAGGACAGCACTTTGTGCTCTGGTGTAGTTTGCTTGAGAGTGGAGTATTTATGGCTGTGAGATAGGCTTTTGTCCTTTTCTGGAGATGGGTGAATAGTGTGTCTTGTTGTGGGTATATTGTTGTGATAAGGAGCAGAGATTATCTGTCACTGTGATTGATGGGTGTCATTAGCTGTCCTCTGAAGATGCCAGCCACAGAGACTGGCAAAACGTTAGGAAGAACAACCTTCAGAACACGGCCAAAGAACCCAAAAAACCCACAACAACCAAAATTAAAACTATTTTTACAAAGACTATTTCCATCCTCCTGGACTTATTAAGCTAGTATAGTTGACATTTTAAGGCAAACAGAGACTCCGTTTAAATGCTACTTTTACAGCATTATGCTACTAATATCACAGCTGCATGGTCAAGATTCAAAACAGCTGTGAGAATGTTAGAATAAAATAATGCGATATAATACGGTGCATTCCAATACTGCTCTCACCAATGCTGCAGCTTTGATGGAACCCAGTACCATTGGCTTGAATATTTCCCATCCTATTCAGCATATTAATATGGGAAGAGAAACTTAAATATTTGTAAACCAGAATAAAACAATAACAACACAGTGAAGGCTACAATATGGTGCAGAACTGACACTTAAAAAAATAAATAGAGGTATTTGATAAGAACTACCTGTAAATAAAGTACTCTTTAATTATTCCATTGGGTTTCTTAGGTGGTGCCCATTTCACTTGTATAGATGCTGATCCAGTGGCCTCAATGACAGGTGGCGCCAACATCTGAGGGGGGGCTTCATCAGTCACTGCATATGCCCATTCACCAACTCCGCAGCCGACTGAAGGTAAAGAAAACCCACACTTCAGAGATCATGTTTTCTTTCAAACAATGTGAAACACTGCCTTAATTTTCCAATAACCAGCCTGAGCATAATCTTAATGTAAACTTTCAGTGTTTTTAAAACTGGTGATACCATAAATGCCATATTTTATAAAGAACTATTAGTTTCCAACACAAATAATTGAAGGGCAAGTTTAAGCATAAATTTCCCATGAATAATGGGCACCCTCCCTTTTCTGTCACTTTGTTTTCCTCCTTTAGTGCACCAATTCTCTCTCTCTCTCTCTCTCTCTCTCTGTGTGTGTGTGTGTGTNGTGTGTATGTGTGATGTGCTATCAAGTCTTATTTGCTTTATAACAGCCTTAATAGTGTTCTCATGGCATGTGTGAGATATTTAAGGGGTGGGATACTCACTGCCATCTTCCTGTGAGTATCCATGATGAAGTGGGGATTTGAACCCAGGTCCTCTGAATCCTATTCTGTCACCTACCTATTTATCTATAGTTCTCATTTATATCCATTCTGATGGTATTTTATGATTCTCAATATAAATAGCTGTTAAACCACCTTTCTCTATTTTAGACATAACATAGTCTAAATTAACCATCTAGAACTATAGTTTAAGATAAGCAGTGTTGGCATATTGATGAAGAAAACGAAAAGGAGAGGTGAGAATGAAGCACAGGGTCCCAACACTGTTAGTTTGTTAAGCTGCATACAAGTATTAGTGAACAAGGAAGTATATATCTCAGACACATGAACGTCTTTGAAATCTTGGTCCTTTTTTGACACATTCAAATTTCACAGTCTGGCCTTCTCCTCCCTCCTGCCCCCCCCATCAAAGTCTTGCTGATACTAAACAGAAAGGCAGAAAAGTGACAACAAAAAACAGCACAGGAAAATTACTAAAATGTTGTTAGCTTTGGAGTAAAGATTCCTAAAGCACTGGGGATTGGTGCTGTTTGTTTTTCAACACTATCAGTACTACTTTCCCAAAGGTTCAATATCAATGGCTTCTTTGTAGTTCCACCAATATGACATACCAACAGATCCCTTTAAGATCAGGTTTCATACATCCCTTGTAATCTTAAATAAGAGAGCAATATCCTTCCACTTTATATGAATAATAAAAAGAGTGATAAATTCTTGATGTAACATCAACTGATAATGGATTTTACTCGGTATGTACTTTCAGGACAGTTTTAAAAACACCCTGTTTTATGCTTTTCATAATGCATTTTATATATTAAAAAAAAAGAACAACATCCCCCCCAATGCTAACCGCTTACATTTTCTTTTAAAATATTCATGATGTAATATGGAAAAATGTAAAGTGCCCCACTCAGTGCCAGACTCTGCTTTTACTAGGTAAACATTTCAGTTCATTTTTTGAAATAAGATGTTATCGGTGTTACTGAATCTATTTTAGAAAAACTGCGCTGTCTCCAGATCACAAAAGAGAATTACTTAGTGTCTTACCATCCTGGCAGGCTTGTATCCTTATCTCGTATTCTGTGTATGGCTCCAGACCATCAAAAAGAGCAAAGTTGGGCTGGCCAACTGGTTTTACAAGAGGGGAGGTACTGCCAGCATTCAGTAATATATTATACTTCAAAGGGGTATTGGTCTTAAATGATCCTGTAATGAAATAGATCACAGTTTATAGGATGATAATTGCTGTTTCAGATGAATCTACAAACTAGTGGCTTCTTGTAGTCATGAGAGCTCTGGGTACGATCAGACACCAGCCTGGAAGAACAGAAATGCCACATTGAGTATGACACCATACTCAAACATGTATGTTGAGCATTTCACTGACTGCTTGCATCTATCAACCAACCAATGTCAGCTCAGTCAGCGTGCTTGTGAATCGAGATGATTCACACATTTGACTATCAAAGATATACCACCCAAATTCTTTGATACATTCAGATAAATATATAGAGAGGCTGAGTGGAACGTATGTAGACTGTACCCATTTCCTGGTATCCTTGCCTTAAACAGAGCATAGGGTTCTTTCAATGTGAAAAGGAAATTTGCTTCTCTAGGGTTTCTGGTCATTTGAAAAGAACTCAATACACACATAGATTACATCCCATGCAGACCTCCCAAATGTGTTCAAAGTGGGTCATGATTAATGCATTTTATATATTACTTCCACAATCTCAAGTTCTCACTTCCACAATTCTTGGAGCTAATGTAAATGTCTGAATATAGAAGGAATGAAGCATTAAGTGAAGTAATGTTCATGTATGAATCAGGCCAAAGCACTCACAATGCTTTTTACATTCTACAATTAATGAAATACATAATCATGGTACATATATATATTCTGCAGGAACCCAAATTCAGAAGTGTTGAATGTTAAAATTATACAGAATGAGAATAGTGTAATGGAAGGCTTCTGAATAGAGACAAAAAAAAATTAATTCAACTCAAGAACTGAAGAGTGCATGGAATAATCCAGGCATATGTTTCTGAATGCTTAAAGAATACAATTATCTCTTTGTCCATTGGATGTATAGAGCACAATCCTGCGTGCCACACAACCAGACCCGAGAATGAATCTGGCCCATCTGAAGTCACATTGCAGCCCTCTACGTTTGCCCAGATATCCAGGGTTCCTTTTCCATCAGATAACTATTTGTTGCTTTCCTATCTTTTGTGTGGAGTATTTCCCGGCCTAAAAGTTTGAAATTCCTCTCCTAGAGAAGGTGTTTGTTTGTCTTATTCATAGGCTGGCTTTCTCCCCAGAAGGGGACTCAAGGCAATTCACATTATTAAAAAGACTAGAATTAAAAAAAAAACAACAACTCGATATGTTATACAGTAAAAAATAATTAAACTATAAAACTGATTAAAATAAAGTACATTGAATGCTTAAAAGCATATAAAACATTAAAAACCATCTTAACTTAAAAAAAATAGCATTTAGGGACTGGGTTATTATTCTTACAAACCTACCAGAAACAGTGAGTCTTCAGCTGTAAGTGGAAGGATAAAAGGAAGGTGGCCAACTTAGCCTTCCATAACAATGGAACAGCCAAAGAAACAGCCTTCCCTTCTTTCCCCACCAACTATTTAAGAGCTGGTAAACAGGAAGGCTTCCTCTGATGATCTTAAGTGCTCACATGAGAAAATACAGTCCTTCAGGTAGCCTGACATTTACTTATTGGCTAAATGCCTATTCCACCACATTGCTTTAGCACTATTTAAGAGCTGGTAAACAGGAAGGCTTCCTCTGATGATCTTAAGTGCTCACATGAGAAAATACAGTCCTTCAGGTAGCCTGATATTTAGTTATTGGCTAAATGCCTATTCCACCACATTGCTTTAGCATTGCCATTACTCTACATTGCTCTGCCATTGCTCTACATTCTACCATTGCTCTACATTCACTTAAATATCACACAGTACCTTGAGCTTACAGAATCCCTTATATTTCACTTATATTCTGATGTACATACCTCGAAGGAACTTTATTCTTGGAGCAACAATACATGGTAGGTTGGGTTGAGAGGGAACTACAAGAGATCAATGGTATACAATGGACTTCATTGTATATCCTGATTATCTTTACAAATAAAAAAGTTAAATTATTCCACTTTTTTCCTCCACACTGTAGGTACATATAGATCAATGGTATACAATGGACTTCATTGTTTAAGAGGGATTTGTGATCTCACCATCTATGTCATAATGACTTTAATAGAGCTTCTGATCCAAAAAAGTAACATTTCAAAACTCTGGATCCTATAAACCCAGGGGCAGCTTCACTTTAAAGCTATAAAAAGCAGTCACTTTTAACAGCAGATTCTGAAAGTGGAATGCCATTTTCCCTGCTCCAGACTCCTTTTCCATTTTATGTCAACTGGTGGAAAATGGCATTTCGCCCCCCCCCTTTTTTTGCTTCATATGTAAAACTGTCTGAAGTTGGCACTATGGGCAAACATCGAATACACGAAAGTAAAAATCATTAATTGCCTTGACTGAATTTTCCCAGAGAGTAATGCAAAATATGTTACTCAGCATATGCCAAAAGAACATACTGAAAGATAATGCACTTTTTCAGTAGGATGCTTCCCTTATTTTTAGATTTCCCATATCAGGTGATGCTTTTGAAAAAATGAAAAAAAAAAACTAGATGTTCATAAGAAATGGAACTGTGATGATCAGAAAAGCTTCTGCATTTAAAATATCTACAGTGAGTCTGAAACTACCGTTGCATTGATGTTTTGACGGGTGAATGGAATGAAATGGGCAGATTTGTTAAAGTCAGCTGGGGAACCACATGACTTGGTTAGTTCCAGAGTTCATAAATTTATGTCAGAATAAAGGGAACAGTAAAAGCACAAGTGAACCAATTTACCCTAAGTGCAAATGGCAGTTTTGTTATTTGGTGTCAAAGTTACCGTGAGCATAATGACAACCTGCCATAACACATTTTCATGTTCACTAAAGAACAAGGATTTAGTTGGTTAATATTCCCAGCAATGCTCCTTTTCATAATTTACAACAACTAGATGCTGATAGGTTATTTAACATTTATGAAGTTAAGATGTAATCAGAAAATCCTGATTATCTTTACAAATAAAAAAGTTAAATTATTCCACTTTTTTTCCTCCACACAGTAGGTACATATTTTGCAACAGGACAAGTCAATCAAACAACACCTTGGGCTGTTTTTCTTCTCTGTTTTCTTTTGTACTCGGACAATGACTAGTGGACAATTCTGTGAAAAATATCATGAACGGTTTAGGTGGCTTATAAGGAAAATTTGTACAACAGGCATTTTTAAAACAATGTTCTGTTTTGGCAACAGCTGATTCAAGACACTATTGCAATTAATTGGTAAAAAGCCAATCATTTTGCTTGATTTCACGCCTAATAGTGACAATGGTCAGATTTTATTTTCTTCCATATCTCTCAGAGTTTTACTTCTGCTGTATATTTCATGTACTGTATTAATATTGAAAGTAAAGTTTATTTCTCCAGCATTTATTATTAAAACGTGTCTACGTTATGAGAAAGCTTGCATATATGGCCACTTCTTTTATGTTAACTACTTGAAGAAAGTTACACGATTTTATCAACATTAAAAAACTTTACTCCTCCTAAAAGGGCAAAAATGAGACTCCAATCTGGGATCTTTTTTACAAAAGCTTTTTACAAAAACACTATAAAGAAACCCTCCTACAGTTACTTGGCTCTAAAAACGCACTAACATAGGTAAGGAATGGCTACTAGTGAGGAAACATGAGAAACATAATTCAGCATTTAGAAGGCCACACTTTTCCCCATCCCTGCTCTATACAGTGTAAGCAGGGGTGGAGAAATATGCCTGTTTTGCTGTCTGTCATATATAAAACAAATTTTTGTTCACTCCTTGTCCACTTTAATTTGTATTTTTTAAAATACCCATAAAAGTGCTGATGCATTTTCATCTGCATTAAAAGTTATACCTATTTCGCCACAACATACACATTTTTATAAGCACTCTCCCATCATAATTGCTTTTCTGTACAAAATTTTCCTTAATGTACACATCTTGAAAATATGATGTCTCCTTGAATGAGATATTTGGGGATCCACAGAAATGTAAATTGTCAAAGACTTTCATTTACATACATCTTTTCTTTTATCCTCTTTACAGGCAAAGGGAGAGGAATTGCTTGCTATTGTTTACATTGTCGTTAGTATATAGCAGAAGTACTCCTGGGTTTCTGATGGCCCTACCTGGAGCTAGGTTTGAAGATAGGATTATTTGAATGGAAAGCATGTACACCATAATCTACTTACATCTCTTCACCATTGTTCACTCTCACCCAGTCCAAAATTGCCACCAGATAACTGTTTCACAGTTTTCATTGCTTCCCTCAAGGATCAGAGGATAGAAATGAAGTTAGACATGGATGTTGCATGCATTATTGCTGCATGACAGTGTAGCAATTATCCCAAAGGGAGAGGAATTGCTTGCTATTGTTTGTGTAGACTATCTGGACTGCTGCCACTGGTGTGGTCAACATTCAGACTCCCTTTGCAATGTAAAGCCTTGGCATAGATAGGATTATTTGAATGGAAAGCATGTACACCATAATCTACTTACATCTCTTCACCATTGTTCACTCTCACCCAGTCCAAAATTGCCACCAGATAACTGTTTCACAGTTTTCATTGCTTCCCTCAAGGATCAGAGGATAGAAATGAAGTTAGACATGGATGTTGCATGCATTATTGCTGCATGACAGTGTAGCAATTATCCTGTGCTGGCAGAGTAAATCAACATTCTACAAAGCAATTCTAAAAATGGGGGCAGCTCAAACAATATTGTAACTTTGAAACTGGGCTTTGGATCAGCAGAAAATTTAGGACAGAGGGTTTTTGTGTTACAATTTTTTAAAAAGTAAAGCAAATTCCTACAGAAACAAACAACCCTAAATGTCCCAAAAAATTTAAAATAGCACATAGAGTTGAAAAGATCAATATTGCTTATTTTGAAAAAGAATGGTTGGTCCTACCTGCTTTTTTAAAAATTCAGGCTGCATAGGCTGAAATATTGATCCTCAAAAAAAGTCTATCAAAAGCAGGAAATTGTGACTTTGTTATAAGGAGTCTTGCCACAAGAGTTTTCCTAAGTA